ATGTCCGCACCGCCGGCAGCACCAGGATACGTGCCCGCACCGCCGGCAGCACCAGGATACGTGCCCGCACCACCGGCAGCACCAGGATATATATCCGCACCGCCGGCAGCACCAGGATACATGTCCGCACCGCCGGCAGCACCAGGATACGTGCCCGCACCGCCGGCAGCACCAGGATACATGTCCGCACCGCCGGCAGCACCAGGATACATGTCCGCACCGCAGGCAGCACCAGGATATATATCCGCACCGCCGGCAGCACCAGAATATATGCCTGCCTAGATTTTTATTTTATAATATTTTTTTTTCATTTTATTACATATTAGTCACACTTTTTTTTTTTAGTTATATATAATTGATGACAATATGGTATAAGGTTTTTTTTATTTTTATATGGTATGATGAAATGTATTTTGTAAAATTGACAAAATAAAAAAATATAAAAGAATATTTTATTTTATAACAACACCTGCCGAGAGATAAGTTGTAGAAATCTCTACTTATAAAATAGAATATTGTTATTTCACATTGTGTGAGATAGCACGGATGGCATATTATATATATATATATATATATATATATATATATATATATATATATATATATATGCCATCCATGCTATCTGCTCACACAATGTGAAACAACAATATTCTATTCTATAAGTATAGATTTCTACAACTTATATTATATATAATTATTATTTTATTTTATTTTACTATTTATTATTTTATTTTATTTTATTATTTTATTATTTATTATTTTATTATTTTATTATTTATTATTTTATTTTATTTTATTATTTTATTATTATTTTTTCTTATTTTTTAATTTATTTATTATTATTTATTATTTTTTATTATTATTTCTACATATATATATAAGTATGTAGGTATATAATATGCCAATATTATATATATGTATATATATATATATATATATATACACATAAATATAATATTGGCATATTATACCATATTTTCTCTCTCTCAAATCATTCGCATACAATTATGAACGAGCAATTTGAGAGAAAGAGAGAGAGAGAGAGAGAGAGAGAGAGAGAGACTGTGTATCAGAAGACAAGACAGCATGAGAGAGACAAAGATAATATGACTGTCTGTCCTTGTCTAACTGCACGATTGCAGCTCCATCTATCGCGACATCGCGCAACTAATTTTGTGCTCTGTATTATTCCCAAATGTCATTTCGCACATACACATGTGAATGAAATATTCCATAACCAAGATCTTTTTTATTAGACTTCTAAACTTATTTCTGCAAGCTCACTAATATTCCTTTATGCAATCTTTTCCGCGAAGTGGTCTTATTTTGTACGTATAAATTGTGAAACTTTTATACAAGCAAATATTGTTATGACGTGACGCGAGAAGCCAGAAAAAAAACTCGTATTTAAAAATTTTTTGTCTTTTTATCACAAATTGAGACAGCTTCGCAGTTTATTATTGTATTAACTTTAATCGTGGAAAAGCATTTGTTATTCTATTAACGCAATAAAAACTTCTTGGTGTTGGAAAATATAATCGGTTCGGCCGATAATAGTAGACCTCCGGCATCCCCTTAACTATGTTTTAACTAATTATGACTGAAGAGACGCAAGTAAGCGTCGAAACGTCTCATTGTGAATTAAATTTATATGATTTCATGTAAAATTTGGAAATATATATGTTTTGACATCAATTCACATAGCTCGTAATAGGCTCACATTGTTTTTTATCTCTAATTTATGAATTAACGAGCTTATTTATTTATTCAATTTATATGTAAAATATTTAGTGTTCGATAATACTTTTATGTATAGAATAATTATAGACAAATAAAAAAAGATACACAGTAAAAAAAAATACAATTTGCTACATGCAGCTATATATATTTTTTCGTAAAAACAACATGTTTGTTGTTTATACCAATTGTTTCGTCTAATTATTCTATACATAAAAGCAAAACCATTGAAAACTAAATATTTTACGAGATATTTTGTATTTTATATCAAAAATATGTCAGATTATGTGAAATATCTCGGAAACTGTTCAATTTTTGACTACATTTCCTTATATTTTTATGCAGAATATTACAAAAAATCTATTTACATAAACGCTTAGAATAATTCTATATAAAATAATTAAATTGACTAAATAAATAAGCTTGAAAATTGTCTCTTACAAACATTTCTATGACATCAACTATGCCTCCTTTGAGATACTAAAATTTTTATTTGAAACATTTTTTTCTACAAATATTTTTAGCGATAAAAATTTGTAACGCTTATTGAAACACCCGGTACATATTTATTACATCTCTATTCTCCCTATATACTATATATATATATATATATATATATATATATAATGTTAGATTATGTAAAATATCTCTAAACCGTTCAATTATTGACTTTTACCCTGTATGCAGAATATGTTACAAGGAATCAATTTACATAAATACTTATTATTAGACTAATCAATATCAAATAATCAAGTTGACTAATGATATTGAAAATTGCCTTCTACAAACATTTCTGTAACATCAAAGTATGTATATCTCTGTTGAAATACTGGAACTTTTATTTGCAGCATTATTTTCTAAAAATTATACTTTTAGAAATAAAAAATTGTAACGTTTTATTTAGAACACTCAGTAAATATATTTATACACACACATGTGAATGCTCAGTAAATATATTCATACACACACATGTAAATGATAAGTAATTATATTCATACATACACATGTGAATGATATATATTGTTGCGTCCTCGGGACGCCTCTCGCTCAGTCACTCACACACAGTCACTCTCACTCGCGCGCGAAATAAAGACACTCGCGTAATAGGGAAATGAACTTTAATATGAGGAACCAATACACGAAACCAATGAAATATAACAAATAGTGCATTCGTAATGCAAAGAAGCTCAGGGTCTCGGAAAACGTCCGCACGATGCGACCGCTAGACCAAAACTGTCATGTCTCCCGAAAACAGAAGAAGACCCTTAGTTGTTTAACAACAACTCCCTTGACGACGATCTTCCGGAGGCGTAAAGAGTTGATCCCGCGAAAAGTATCACCCGATACAAAGATGTAGATCCAGGGGCGTAACACGGGGGCGCAACAATATATATTATATATATAAGAATTGCATGTAAATATATAAGCAAAAAAACAAATATATATATATATATATATATATATATATATATAATATTATTGTGTTCAAACTATGTGATAAAGATAAACACAATTATGTATGTATGTTTTACTGTCATTGACACGCTTAGATAAAAACGCGTGTGCGAGATGATTCGACAGTAAAAATATATTATGTTGTCTAAAAAAATATAATATGTTGAACACAATAAAATTGTTTTTTTTGACATGCATGTAAATTTTTAATATATGGAAACTGCCGATAATAGCGAAATTAAAATTGTCGGTAATTATCGACAATTTTAGTTCCGCTTAGATGAGGGCGCTAACCCGTCGGAGTTCGGCCAACGCTCCGGCATCTCCTTAATACGGTTATCAATTTGGTAGACCACGCGATTTTACTGTCTAATGAAAAATTTTACACACAGAACATTGAGATTGTTAAGCAAATTCTAGCAAATAATTGTTTCCCAGCGAATCTTGTCAACTGCATAGTTAAGAAACGTATAGGGTTTTTGAAACATTATAAGAACAATATTGAACCACATAGTCATCAGAAATTTGATTTTAAATCATGTTTTACATTGCCTTATATAAAGTATCTCAGCGACAACATAAAAAATTCGCTCTCTAAATTTGGTTTGAAAGTAGTATATATATTCTATTCCAAAAAATTAAACAGGATCTTTAATTATGGCAAAGATAAAATTTTAAAACTTAATAAAACTGAGGTAATATATAAAATTGAATGTATGAACTGCGCTTTTTCTTATATTAGACAAACAAAAAGACATTTGAAGACCCGTATTAGGGAACATAGAAATAACATTAAATTACACGAAAGTAATTATTCTGTGGTGAGTAAGCATAGAGTAGAGTTTGGACACGATTTTGAGTGGGATAATCCTATTATATTACACTGTGAAAAACATACTAGAAAGAGAGAAATAGCTGACAATGAGATGTTTTATATAAAAAAAATGTAATAACACTTTGAATTCTCAGACAGACACTGAAAATTTAAACATTAGATACGATAAGGTCATCAATATTGTTTAAATGTGAGAAAAAAAAAATTTATTTAATCGGTAGTTTGACGTCAATGTAGATATTTGTGTCATTACAAACACAAAACTTTTTAAGTAATGACTATCATATACTTTTAATTATATTTATTTTATTTATTTTATTTTTCTTATAATGACATCTTTATTGGTGGATTTTTAACACATAACGACTGTAAGTTTTCTTCTCCTATTTTCTATACGTTTTCCTTTTTATTGTCTTGGTGGCATTCTTATTATATATGACAAATTATAATTTTATTTTTATTTTTTATATTATTTATTTATTTATTTTTAGTTTTTACCTATTAACTCTTAGTGTAAAAAATTTTTTTTTAATTTATTTTTTGGTATAGAATACTTCTGTTGTAAAAAGCTGTATAACTTAATATTTTGTGCAGGAAAATTCTTTAATATTTTGTTTGTCAGTGATAAGATTAGATAGTTTACCAATTGTTTTTTTATTGAAGTGTCTTATTAAAGTTTTGTGCAATTTTTATTGTATTATTAAAAGTTTGTAATCACTTTGTTTCCAGCTCATTTGATAAAGGCCTAAAACAAAGGTCGAACCGTAATGAAGAATATTTGAATAAACCAATATTTTTGCTCAGTTTGGTCGATTACGATTGCTTAATTTTTAACCTTGTGAATCAGGTAATATTTCATTTTCGGAGATGATGTGTCCCAGATATATTACCTTTTCGTAGGAATTCGCATTTGTCCGGCTGTAGCTTTAGGTTGTGTTCTCGTAATTTCTGCAAGACTTCTACAAATCTTTGGTTATGATTCTCCAGACTGGATCCATAGATAGATAACGATGTCGTCTAGGTATACTAGGCATTTGAGTCCTTGTATCCCCGTGAGTACTGAATTTATTAGGCGTTGGAAAGTTGCCGGCGCGTTCTTCAATCGAAACGGCATTCGATTAAATTTGTAGTGTCCGTAGGGGGTTGAAAAGGCTGTCTTGCTTTTGTCTTGCTCCGCCATTGGTATCTGGTGATATCCTGATGCCAGATCCAGAGTAATGAAGTACTTGGTGTTTCCCAGCTGATCTAGTACATCTGTGATATTTGGAGTGAGAATGAGTCACCTATTGTTAGATCATTTAGGCGCCTGAAATCTACGACTACCTTTAATTTTGGTTTCCCGGATAGTAGTAAGTGGGCCACTATAGGCCGTCAAAACAAACCCCCACTCCTCGGCCATTGGCGCCGACCCCCTGCTGTGCCAGACGGTCGTTTATGGCGTGACAGACAATGACCCCTGTTGTGAAGGTCAGTGGCCCCTGTTGCAGGGGCCAAAACTCAGTCCGGACACAAGGCCCTGACGTCTAAGGGGGTGTGGCTAGACAGAATTTTGCGATCAGAGATTGGTCTATTTTTTTATCGGGGCATTAGTCTTCGGTGTCTGATAGGCTCTGCCTATACTTGCCGGCACTCTGATTGGGTGATTTTTATTTTGGAAGAGTAGAGGGAGAGTAGATGGGTTTTGGAAAAAGCCGACAAAATAGCGAGTCGTGGTATACCGAGGCCGCATGGAGGGCGACTATGGCACCTCGCTCTTCGAACTTTCTCACGCAATAGAGAGAAAGAGCCGCTGGAGTGACAGCAATGAAAAAGATTAGCAAAAAATACAGACTCGCACTGATTTCGGGCTGATAGCTTACTAGGCGTTGCACTATCGACTAATGCTGGTATCATCGGTAACAAAGGAAACAAAAAAAAAACAAAATATATAAAAATTATAAACGCCTCTAACGTCTGACCACAATTTCACTTGCCATATACGCGATATCAAGTATTATCGACACCGCGGTAACAAATAAGACCTAATAATAAAAAACAAAAAGAAACACGTGTACAATTTCGGCTGAACGTCACCTTGACACCTTGGATAATAAAAATAACTCTAATAGAAAACACGCTTGCTCGGGTTCGCATTCAAAGTTTTATTGCTGGAAAAATAAAATAAAATTTAGAGATACGTACTAAAGAACATAAGTCGAACATAAAAAAACATGAAACTAATTATTCCGTTATTAGTAAACATAGAGTTTCTTTGAACCATAATTTTGATTGGTCAAATGTTTCAATCTTACATAATGAACGTAATGTAAAAAAGAGGGAAATAGGTGTAATGATCTTTATTAAAAAACTAAAAAACTCTATTAATATGCAAAAGGATACTGAAAATTTAAATCCAATTTACGACACTATTCTTAATTTATTTTAAATCTTAGTAACTTATAATATTATTTTATTTCAGGGATAGTTAGTCGATTTTAGTATGATTTTCATTTATTTAGCATATACATTTTAATGTATTTTCTTCTCTTTTTAAAGTTTAGGAACGGGTTATTTTGGTTTTGTGGATCATTTAGCTTATTTATTTGACTTTTAATCCTCTCTAACATTGTTTACTTGTTGACTATTTAAATCGCAGTTGTCTTGTTTAGTTTGTCATAAAGAACACTTCGTTCCATATTAAACGTATTATTTTGTATTATATTCGATCTTACATTATAGATTGACACTATGAGCGTTTAGTTTTTTTGTGTTTTTTAAATAAAAGGTATTATTAATTTTAATATTATTTTTTATAAAGTAGACATTATAATATTATCATATTTAAAATTTATTGTAAACTTTTTTGTATTTGAATTAATGTTATAGCCTAAAAAGGACCCAATTTAGGGTCGAAACGTCGTCTCTTTTGTAATAAAGTTTCTTACATTTAGCCAGTGTCGGTCAATAAAGCTCACTTTTTCTTGGTTTTTAAAATTGGACTGGCAATCACATCTTACTTTTGGTTAAAATAAAATTATTTCTTAATATACAGGGAAAAAATAAAGAAAAGAGCATATTAAATCAATTTGAAATACAAAATTTTATTCTATGCTAATTTTAAATAATTTAAAATCGGTAACGTTATTATAAAAAATGTATATAAAATTTATTTTTTTTATTACATATTACAGACTTATGTTATTACTATTATTAACACTACTATATTACAAAATTTTACACAAAGAAATATTTCCTAATAAACGTATAAATTATTTGTACAAAATGCGGGAGAAAATACAAGAGAAAAAGAATATTATATTTTTATAATAAATATCCATACGGGTATGAATATCTGTTATTGATAAATCTACGTTTCACTAATACTGGTGCGCATATTTTTGTTTCGTCCCGCGTTACAATTTCATGAAACGCAGTACGACGAATGGCGTTAAAATGCAAATTTATCGTTGTCTCATCTTCTTCTTCATTATCTTTGTTTTCTCGTGTTTTTTCTCTTGCTTTTTGATGCTATTAAAATTAACACGCCGAGAGTTCTCGTAATAGAGAATTATACCTTTAACTTTGCAAGTTTCGTGTATAACTTTGTTAGGTGTTCGCACAATGTAGACGTAAAATTTCGAACCGCCGGACACGAATTCCTCGATGTAACTATCGCGGCCATAGCTCTCGAGTTCATCAATCATGTCGCCTAGAAAATTACTGGTGCGAGGTTCATATTTATCCGGTTCGCCGGTGCTCACATAAATGCAAGAATCGGTATCGTAATATAATACACGACTAAGCGCTCTAGATAATTATATAATTTTAGTCGCGCTTGTGCAGTCGTGTATGCGGCTATCACGACATTAATTATCGGTGAGGGTACGACGGCCTCGTGTCTCAATCGCTACGAAACATACATTGCCTCGTCGTTTATTGGCAATATATCGGTTATCTCGTGCTCGGGACTTGTTAATAATAACATAAAACGCTGATGTGACTTAACAATTTCGATATTTGGCAAATTGGATCGTTGGCCGAATTTTCCCCAAAACGAATTTAAGCAGAGCTTAGCAACCGAGTGTAAACCGGGATTTTGCGAGATGTTACGCTTATCGAGAACAATACCTTCGGTTTTCTCGTACTCCCGCAGGTATTGCTCTTTAGCATCATCGTCCGCGCATTCACTCGGCCATCCTCTTGCCTCCTGTTTAAGTTGTAAAAATGAGTTTATATATTCGGCGAACAATCCACCCTGCCGTATTTCGCGATTATATTGACTAATTTTATATTTAATATAAAAAAACTGTTAATCTCGGCTCAAATTATTGTGTTACAATAAAAATAAAATCTCGACGGCAATCGGAGCCTGTGCGGATGACATGCACAAAATTAATAAATTAAAATGAGATCTCAAGTCAAACTCATTTATTCAATTCTAAACGTTTCGACCCACTTCGGGTCTTCTTCAGTAGAATCCGCAAATAAATTAAATATCTTAATACAATTGTCGCTCGTATATTGAAAACAAAGTGATAAATATAAGGCCAACTTATCGAGCTGAATATTCGAGATGTTCAGTCAACTACCATTTATTACATGTATAAATTATAAAACTACAGTCATTATATTAAAACTAACGCAAATTACAATCATTCTATAAACGTTTCGACCGCACGCGGTCTTCTTCAGTATAATTATTGAAATATAAATTCTTACAATTCACATAATATCGAAATTTAATTATAGTTATTCAGAATCAAGAGTTTTTGAGTAATTAACGCGTGTTTCAATCCGTCCTGTCCAACAATGTTCGCCTCGATATGATCCCTGATTTTGTTCAGATCTCGGATAGTTTCATCGTTAATATGCGAGAAATTAACCCGTTCCGTAGGCGCTGCGATTTATAAAAAATTACCGATCAACGCATGTCCAAATTATAATATGTATCCCCTACAATTGGTAGTATGCTTACCTATCATCGTTCTTCTTGATAATTTTGCTACTTATTAACAGTTATTAAGGATGACACATAACAAACCAACAATACAGAAAGACAGCTCATTTTAAACTCTACTTGATCGGAGAGCGTGCGTGTTTATATATGATCTAATATCTATGTTTTACTCGTTAATGTCCTATTTGTCCTATTATTATTTCTTGTTCGCTAATATATCCAAAATATCAAAATACGACTCGCTAAGTAACTCAGTATCTTTGTTTAAATTTAGTCCATTTTTTTGTTCCTTGATATGTAGCATCTCAGAAATGAGTCTTTTATAATAATTATTTTCGTTGTCCATGATCTTAACATTGTCCCAATTAAAAGTATGATGTTCATTTATTATGTGTTCAGAAATTACTGAATGTTTCGTTGAGTCCAACCTAATATTATTTTTATGTTCTTTTATTCGCGTCTGCAATTGCCTCTTTGTTTGGCCTACATAAGATGCATTACAATTATTGCAACTGATCTTATAAACCACATTCGAATTGCATGGATGTTTAGTTTTATCTTTCTGCGCTTTAATAATATTGTCCAGTTTGTTGAGACATCTATACCCTACCATACAATTTTTATTTTTTACCGAGGAAACAATCATTTCTGAGATCCCATCTATATACGGAATGACAAAGAATTTTTTATTGACCGAGTCATTTCTTATACTTTTTGTTCTTTCTATGTTGGCCTGTCTCTCTATAATGCTCCCCTTAGATATGATGTGTTCTATCCGATGATTAATTTTGTTAAAAATCAGATCAAGAGGGTAACCATTGCTTCTGAGTATATTAATAATTAACTCCAAATTTTTATTAAAAAATAGTGGATGTGATAGCAATAGACATCTGTCTACAAGGTTATATATTATTCCTATTTTGTGGCATAGTGGGTGGTTTGAATAAAATGATAACGTCCTTCCTGAGAAGGTTTCTTTTTGATACCAGTCTATATATATTTTGTTATTAATAATTTTAAGTGATAAATCTAAGAAATTCAAGCTATGGTTAACCTCTTGTTCGACCGTGAATTTAAGTCTTTCATGATAGTTGTTAAAATTATTCACAATCTGAGTCATATTAGTCATAGAGGTGGCCACTATTATGTCATCCACATAACGAAAATAAAACAAACATTCCAAATTCAACGCTTTGAGAACTGTATCCTCAAGATCTTGCATAACCAGGTCTGCAATAATTGGTGATAACGGTGACCCCATAGGGGTCCCAAACGTCTGTTTATAAATTATGTCATCAAATGTAAAATATGTAGAAGTCAATATGAATTTTATACCCCCCAAAAATTCGTTTTTCGGTATTTTAGTATTTATTCCAATGTGATCCCATCTATCGTTAATACCGTCAATCGCAAGATCCAGAGGAACGTTCGTAAACAAAGACACCACATCCAAGGAAAACATCCTATCATTCTCATCAATCTTTTTACCAGACAATATGCTGTACAAATCAAAACTATTATTAATATGACTTTTCGCTTTGGGTAGACTAGTTCGTAAGGTGTTTTGTAAAAACGAAGCCAGCGAGTATAGAGCTGTATCAACCGATGAAACTATGATTCTAACTGGATAGTTTTCCTTATGGATTTTCGGTAATCCATACGCTTTTGGAAGGAGAGAATCACTACAACGTAATTTATAATATTCGTTTTTTGAAATATAATCTTCCTTAAGCCATCTCTTCAACAAATCATTCAAATCGTTCTCTATTTTTTTGCACGGATTTTTTTTAACAATAGTGTAAGTGTTGACATCTTTTAAAACGTTTTCCATTTTGTTAATATAATGAGATCTTTCCATTGCCACCGTAGCATTACCCTTGTCCGCGCGTGTGAATAGAACATTCGGATTGTCTTTACAAAATTTTATTAAATCTCTGTGTGCACCAAGTAATTTTTGTTGACTTACGTCATTTTTATCCTTCGTGTTCAGAAGTTGTGCAAATTTTGGAACCGCGATATTTCTGATTGTTGTGAGATTATTAATATTATTTCGTTTGCTATTACTCTCTATGTCCTTGATGAATTCATGTATCGCTGTTTTTTTACTAATATTCGGAAGACAGAATTTATCACCCATTTGCAACAGATTAGAAACGTTAGGCGGAATGTCTGTGTTGGAAAGATTAACAAACCATTTTTTATTAGTATTTTCCAAAGGGTTAATTGTATCATTGAGAAATTTATTGGCTTCTATGTGTATATTGATCTCCTTGGCATCATTAGTGATTGCCCTGAGAGAATTTTGTGATATTTTCGTCGGTTGTGAAGTTTCCAAATGTAAAGAACAATGTATATCTATAGGTTTGATGCTGTTGATATACTTATAGTGTTGTTTTCTCTTAAGCCAATTGAATTTCTTTTCGTGTGCAGTAACCAATCTGTTGTGGCAATTTTTAAAAGCAATGTTATGATGTTCGAAAATTCTATTCCACGCGAGTACAGGTAAACGATTAAATAACCCGCTGGTGAGATGAAAAATCCTATTTTGTAATGACTCTACCTGTCTATGCAAATCAAAGATTTCAATGCTCATCGCATTTGTTTTGAATTTGTACAACATACTATCTAGTCTTCTGATCGATCTGTGATGAAAAACGTTAAATTTAATGCGGCAAAAACCTTCTAAATGTGTAGGAAAAATATCGCCATTTTTACAATTTCTTAAAAATTCCAATTTTGCTCTCGCTCTTATTAACAAGTAATTCGCACAAAGATACTGAGTTACTTAGCGAGTCGTATTTTGATATTTTGGATATATTAGCGAACAAGAAATAATAATAGGACAAATAGGACATTAACGAGTAAAACATAGATATTAGATCATATATAAACACGCACGCTCTCCGATCAAGTAGAGTTTAAAATGAGCTGTCTTTCTGTATTGTTGGTTTGTTATGTGTCATCCTTAATAACTGTTAATAAGTAGCAAAATTATCAAGAAGAACGATGATAGGTAAGCATACTACCAATTGTAGGGGATACATATTATAATTTGGACATGCGTTGATCGGTAATTTTTTTATAAATCGCAGCGCCTACGGAACGGGTTAATTTCTCGCATATTAACGATGAAACTATCCGAGATCTGAACAAAATCAGGGATCATATCGAGGCGAACATTGTTGGACAGGACGGATTGAAACACGCGTTAATTACTCAAAAACTCTTGATTCTGAATAACTATAATTAAATTTCGATATTATGTGAATTGTAAGAATTTATATTTCAATAATTATACTGAAGAAGACCGCGTGCGGTCGAAACGTTTATAGAATGATTGTAATTTGCGTTAGTTTTAATATAATGACTGTAGTTTTATAATTTATACATGTAATAAATGGTAGTTGACTGAACATCTCGAATATTCAGCTCGATAAGTTGGCCTTATATTTATCACTTTGTTTTCAATATACGAGCGACAATTGTATTAATTTATTTTTAATATACGCTGGCCTTACAATGCGTCAATTTAACACAAAACGGACTGATTACTATTTTAATTTTAATTTTATTCATAGAGTTTTTGGAAGAATAACCGCAGATTATTTTAAACAATGGATTAATGCGAATTACTTGTTAATAAGAGCGAGAGCAAAATTGGAATTTTTAAGAAATTGTAAAAATGGCGATATTTTTCCTACACATTTAGAAGGTTTTTGCCGCATTAAATTTAACGTTTTTCATCACAGATCGATCAGAAGACTAGATAGTATGTTGTACAAATTCAAAACAAATGCGATGAGCATTGAAATCTTTGATTTGCATAGACAGGTAGAGTCATTACAAAATAGGATTTTTCATCTCACCAGCGGGTTATTTAATCGTTTACCTGTACTCGCGTGGAATAGAATTTTCGAACATCATAACATTGCTTTTAAAAATTGCCACAACAGATTGGTTACTGCACACGAAAAGAAATTCAATTGGCTTAAGAGAAAACAACACTATAAGTATATCAACAGCATCAAACCTATAGATATACATTGTTCTTTACATTTTGAAACTTCACAACCGACGAAAATATCACAAAATTCTCTCAGGGCAATCACTAATGATGCCAAGGAGATCAATATACACATAGAAGCCAATAAATTTCTCAATGATACAATTAACCCTTTGGAAAATACTAATAAAAAATGGTTTGTTAATCTTTCCAACACAGACATTCCGCCTAACGTTTCTAATCTGTTGCAAATGGGTGATAAATTCTGTCTTCCGAATATTAGTAAAAAAACAGCGATACATGAATTCATCAAGGACATAGAGAGTAATAGCAAACGAAATAATATTAATAATCTCACAACAATCAGAAATATCGCGGTTCCAAAATTTGCACAACTTCTGAACACGAAGGATAAAAATGACGTAAGTCAACAAAAATTACTTGGTGCACACAGAGATTTAATAAAATTTTGTAAAGACAATCCGAATGTTCTATTCACACGCGCGGACAAGGGTAATGCTACGGTGGCAATGGAAAGATCTCATTATATTAACAAAATGGAAAACGTTTTAAAAGATGTCAACACTTACACTATTGTTAAAAAAAATCCGTGCAAAAAAATAGAGAACGATTTGAATGATTTGTTGAAGAGATGGCTTAAGGAAGATTATATTTCAAAAAACGAATATTATAAATTACGTTGTAGTGATTCTCTCCTTCCAAAAGCGTATGGATTACCGAAAATCCATAAGGAAAACTATCCAGTTAGAATCATAGTTTCATCGGTTGATACAGCTCTATACTCGCTGGCTTCGTTTTTACAAAACACCTTACGAACTAGTCTACCCAAAGCGAAAAGTCATATTAATAATAGTTTTGATTTGTACAGCATATTGTCTGGTAAAAAGATTGATGAGAATGATAGGATGTTTTCCTTGGATGTGGTGTCTTTGTTTACGAACGTTCCTCTGGATCTTGCGATTGACGGTATTAACGATAGATGGGATCACATTGGAATAAATACTAAAATACCGAAAAACGAATTTTTGGGGGGTATAAAATTCATATTGACTTCTACATATTTTACATTTGATGACATAATTTATAAACAGACGTTTGGGACCCCTATGGGGTCACCGTTATCACCAATTATTGCAGACCTGGTTATGCAAGATCTTGAGGATACAGTTCTCAAAGCGTTGAATTTGGAATGTTTGTTTTATTTTCGTTATGTGGATGACATAATAGTGGCCACCTCTATGACTAATATGACTCAGATTGTGAATAATTTTAACAACTATCATGAAAGACTTAAATTCACGGTCGAACAAGAGGTTAACCATAGCTTGAATTTCTTAGATTTATCACTTAAAATTATTAATAACAAAATATATATAGACTGGTATCAAAAAGAAACCTTCTCAGGAAGGACGTTATCATTTTATTCAAACCACCCACTATGCCACAAAATAGGAATAATATATAACCTTGTAGACAGATGTCTATTGCTATCACATCCACTATTTTTTAATAAAAATTTGGAGTTAATTATTAATATACTCAGAAGCAATGGTTACCCTCTTGATCTGATTTTTAACAAAATTAATCATCGGATAGAACACATCATATCTAAGGGGAGCATTATAGAGAGACAGGCCAACATAGAAAGAACAAAAAGTATAAGAAATGACTCGGTCAATAAAAAATTCTTTGTCATTCCGTATATAGATGGGATCTCAGAAATGATTGTTTCCTCGGTAAAAAATAAAAATTGTATGGTAGGGTATAGATGTCTCAACAAACTGGATAATATTATTAAAGCGCAGAAAGATAAAACTAAACATCCATGCAATTCGAATGTGGTTTATAAGATCAGTTGCAATAATTGTAATGCATCTTATGTAGGCCAAACAAAGAGGCAATTGCAGACGCGAATAAAAGAACATAAAAATAATATTAGGTTGGACTCAACGAAACATTCAGTAATTTCTGAACACATAATAAATGAACATCATACTTTTAATTGGGACAATGTTAAGATCATGGACAACGAAAATAATTATTATAAAAGACTCATTTCTGAGATGCTACATATCAAGGAACAAAAAAATGGACTAAATTTAAACAAAGATACTGAGTTACTTAGCGAGTCGTATTTTGATATTTTGGATATATTAGCGAACAAGAAATAATAATAGGACAAATAGGACATTAACGAGTAAAACATAGATATTAGATCATATATAAACACGCACGCTCTCCGATCAAGTAGAGTTTAAAATGAGCTGTCTTTCTGTATTGTTGGTTTGTTATGTGTCATCCTTAATAACTGTTAATAAGTAGCAAAATTATCAAGAAGAACGATGATAGGTAAGCATACTACCAATTGTAGGGGATACATATTATAATTTGGACATGCGTTGATCGGTAATTTTTTATAAATCGCAGCGCCTACGGAACGGGTTAATTTCTCGCATATTAACGATGAAACTATCCGAGATCTGAACAAAATCAGGGATCATATCGAGGCGAACATTGTTGGACAGGACGGATTGAAACACGCGTTAATTACTCAAAAACTCTTGATTCTGAATAACTATAATTAAATTTCGATATTATGTGAATTGTAAGAATTTATATTTCAATAATTATACTGAAGAAGACCGCGTGCGGTCGAAACGTTTATAGAATGATTGTAATTTGCGTTAGTTTTAATATAATGACTGTAGTTTTATAATTTATACATGTAATAAATGGTAGTTGACTGAACATCTCGAATATTCAGCTCGATAAGTTGGCCTTAAATTAAATATCATTCTCCTAATTTTATATTGCCAAATTTCATTTACTTTAGTCACGAGATAACCTTTTTCGACGGCCTTGCGTAATTCGCAGCTCACCCACGTACCCTTGAATTCGCGTTCGCTAGGCTCGTGCGTACACTCCGTTTGCGAAAATGTTTTACAGCAACTACGACACAGTGCGAATAATAATTTTCCGTGCGCGCGATACGAGAGTACCGGATGAAATAAATCGCGCGGTGGAAGTATCGTACAGCGTACAAGACCTTGGACGATGTCGAAATTATAATTCGGAGCCGTACCGATTAAAGTTGAACATTTATCGCCGATATAAATGTCGGGATGACCGATAGGGAAAACACCCGTCTTCAATACATACGGGTATAACAAACATACGTCTACGTAGCGTATTTTCTCCGCACCTGTGATTTTGCAAAGAGTCGCGATATTTCCCGTGTGTCCACCAAAAAATGCGTCGCGAGGATCGAGCGGTGCTGTTTTTACCATCGGATGACTCTCGAGAAATTCACGCATCTCACGATTATCCCGCATTTCTCGATCAAAGCTACACTCCCACTTTTCCGTCAGCGTGTACCCCTGCTGCCGAAGTTGCCTCAAGATTGCAAGAGTTCGCTCGTATCGCGAGTCAATCGTATCTCTACGTTCCTCGGCCGACAAAAGCGGTCTATTGCGATTTATCGGAAAGCACGACGTACATCCATGCCAAAAGCAACCGTGGAATTGCAACACGTGACGCAACGTTACTCCCGTTTCCGATATTTCTTCATAATAACCATCGACGAGTGTGCCGTCGATCGTACGGTATTCGCGCGCACGCCCTGCGTGTTTTATAGGATGACCGAGCTCGCGCTCCTTCCATAACAACCACTGTAGAGCTTTGTGCGAATGTATATTCGCTTTTCTGTATCTGTCCGCTGGAATGACGCTTATTGTATTCGGCTGTAAGAAGTTTTTTCGAAAAACTGTCATACACGTTGAAGCAATAATTGTACATTCCTCGAACGGACATACATTTCCGCGGGCTATAAAAATTTTTCTAAACGCCATGCACGTTCGTCGAAGTATATCAACATCGGTACGGCAATATTGTACTATCTCGCGTTGAAAATCAAACACGGTGTTTTTTAATCGCATGTCCGTATGCGAGAAAGCATACGCGCTCTTTTGATTTCATGGTTTCGGGAGAGTAATAATGCGCATCGGGTAATGGCCCGACATACATTTGATTTTCGATAGTATTGAATAAATGCAGAAAAATGCCTTTACCCGATATATCCTTCAACCCAAAAACCTTCGGCAAATCGGATAATCGCATTGGCATATAATTCACGCTATTGATAAACTTTGTATGTCCAACTGTTAATACGACGATTTTTGTCCCGTTCAAAATCACTTTCGGCACGAGATTGACACGATTTTCTACAATATATTTCAAAATAAATTGAGTGTCAAACGCTTTCGCATTGTGGGCTATGCAAATTATCTGTTTGAAATATTTCGTCCTTTGCATAGAAAAATTATGCTTTCTTTTTCCTCGACGGATGCACCTACCGTCACTGTCGTTGCTTCTACCTTCGGAGGATGTGTCGACGACGACGGCTCGGTAGAAGAATTAACGTCGTTGCGAAGAGGTCTCATATAACACAAATGATTTCGAGGTTGCTCCGAATGGTATAATCTACAGTAAGAACCGCCGCATTCGTGCTTCGCTTTCGCTTTAACTATACATCCGCATTCATTGCAAAATCGTATGACGCTACAAACACTTGCGAGCGATTTACCGTCATAAGATTTTTCCTTACGATGACGCTCGAAACACGAAGCATCGAAAAACGTCCGATTGCATGTGTCACATTTTACTATTCGCGCGTCGTCGGAGTGTTCGCACGGCGGCGCGGTAAAACATCGCGGATATTTATTCAAGCACCGGTGACCGCCACCTCTATCGTTCCGGAAGCATACCTTACACGTTACACAAAAATTACGAGAACCCGCAGCGGCTTTTAAATTTAATATAAGGTTAAAATAGCGCAAATTCTCATAATACATAATATTTAGTCAATGATTTCCTACGTCGCGTCTTAAATCCGTCATAATTGTTATTATTGTTATAAAATGTTCATGTATTCGGTTACGCGTTATTTTAATAAATTTTTATTTCAATCGAGTATTTTTTCTATGTTCTCGAGATGGGCTACCGTGTCGTTTATTATTTTTATTTGTTTGATCATCGCGCGTTGTACGATTTGTTGTTGAGTTTGTAGTACGTATAGTTGTTCATTTATATGTTTCTCATCGTTCGCGTCCATTATTCCAAATAGCGCCTTTGTTAGGGTGCCTATTCCATCTATCAGTCCTCTGCGTCTGTTAGACGGCGGTTTGTATAAGGTGGTTACCTGTGTCGTAATGTTTTGTAGGTACGTTGATTCTTTTTTCGCGAGTTCGTCTAAATTAACCCTTAGACTGCCAGAAAAGCCACTTTTGTGGCTCAGTACTGCGACGTTAATTCGCAACCCTCGAGCACACCGAGCCCGAAAGGGAAAACACCGAATTGCAATCGGGTGACCGGCACCTGATTGGCGGTATCAGATAGATATTTTAAATAGTTCGGTATTCTTAGGTAACTTCACGGTAACAGAGAAGATAAAAAGATAATAATTCTTAAGATTTAGGCGCCAGGCGCTATTCCGCGCGCCACGGTATCAAAATCCTACATAAAAGACGTCAATGTGTCGGCTACACTCTGCTCAGTATTTGACAGAGGGACGCGGTTCACAGATGTTAAATTTTTACAGAGTCTGGAGAGGAGGGTAATTAAATAGAACACAGAGATTGGGTTAGTAAAACATTTAACAATATATTTGCTGATAAATGGACAATTACAGGATTACAGTTATAAAATTGGTTAACAAAACGTATTAATTAATATAATATAATTACGGAGCGGTCTGATCGAAAAGTTAAAGGTTATAATATATAAAGGTAAAAATTAGATCAAATAACGCACAAACGATGGCATAACGCGGAACGTGAGAACGATACTTTATAATTTCGGCCCTAGGGACAATTCCCTTAGGCCTCACCGAATTTTCGTACAAGTCCGATATCTTGTTAACGACATAAACATGTCGCCGCATTCCGATCCGATCACGTGCTTCGCAAGCGCCGCGGGGACAATCGCGGCGCTCGCGAAGCACGTGATCGGATCGGAATGCAGCGTGTGCGCGGAACAAAGACACGTCAGACAAGGATGCCGATCCTCAATATAAAATTTCGTTCAAATAGTATGATAGTTTATTTTACACGGGTTTCTCACCAATCCCGAGAAAAACAATAAGGTATAGTTTTCCGCGAACAATACAATATTTTCGATAACGCAAAATCATGCAATATTGGTATCTGAACGGTGGAGAGTGTGTAAGTGAGGGAAATTTAGAAGGGTTAGAGTGAAGAGAGAGAGAGGAGAGGATAGTGTGAGCAGAGAGAGGAAGAAAGAGTAAGAGAGTGAGAGTGCAGTGAGAGAAATTAGATAGAGAGAAAGAGAGAGTTAGAAAGACGGCTGTCAGCAGATAGTTTGGACAAGGAATATAGAAGATACAGAGACAGGTAGACGTTAGGGAAGAGTCACTAGGGAAAAGCTAGTAACGCGCAGAAACAAGAAGTAGGGAGAATATAGAGAGGAATCAGGAGAGAGAAGGGAAAACAGAAAAGTAAGAGATTTATAGATAGGGAAAAAGATAAGAATTTAGAAAGATGGAAGTATAGGAGATGAGGAAGTAGGGGCAAAGAATAAGAAAAGAGAGGAAAGAAGCGGTAGCTTAGGAAATATAGAGGAGTTACTAGAAAAGAAGAAAAGGGATCTAGAGGAAAAAGGAGGTGAGGAGAGAATGGAGGCATTCAAGAGGAGCAATATAATAATGAAGTCTTCGGAGAAAGGAGGGAATGAGGAAGGAGAGAGAGGGGAAATAAAAAAAATGATTAGGAATATGTGGCAGGAAGTGAAAGAGATGATGGGAAATGTAAAGAAGGAGATAAAGGAACAAGGAGAGAGGATAAGAAGAAAGATGGAAGAACTAAGAAGAGACTACAGAGAGCAGATAGAAAGATGGAGAAAGGAGAAGAGGGAGTTAAAAGAGAACATAGAAGGACTGAAGAAGAGAGTGGAGGAGCTGGAGAAGAAGAGGGAGGAAGGGAGAGAAGAGAAAGAGAGAGGAGAGGGGCACGATAGAAAGGGATATAGTGAAGAGAGTTGGAGAGATAGAAAGAAAATGGGAGATAAGGGAAAAAGAGGAAAAGAGGAAGAATATAATTATAAAAGGATTGGAAGTAAAAGAAGGGAAAAGAAGAGACGGGGCTGAGAAATTGATGGCGGAGATAGAAGCAAAAGTTGAGATAGTAAAAATAAGAAAGATAGAAGAGGGTAGGGAGGAGGGAAGAGAGATGGTGGTGATAGAGCTGGAGAAAGAGGAGCAAAAATGGGAAGTGATGGAAGAGAAAATGAAGCTAAAAGGTAGAAAGGAGAGGATTCATATGGATCTAACGTGGAGAGAAAGGGAGACGAGAAGGAAACTAAGAGAGATAACGAAGAGAGAGGAGGGAAGAGGAGAAAGAACATGGATAAGAAATGGCAGGATAAGAATTGGAGAAAAATAGTAGAGTTAGGATGAGGAGAAGGAGGCACTGAAAAACGAGAGAGGAAATATAAGGAAAGAGGAGGTGAGGGAAGAAGCGAGAAGGATGGAGAAAACAACAAATAGAGAAAGAAAGGGTGAGGAAGAGAGAGAAGAGAAATGGAAGATGGAAAGCGGCTTTTTGGAATGTAGTAGGGCTAGGTAACAAGGATAAGGAGTTCTGGAAAAGATTGGAGGAGTGGGATGTGATAGTGATGTCAGAGACATGGGTGGAGGAGAAAGATTGGAAGAAGGTTAAAGGACTTCTGTCGAAAGGATATAGATGGGGAGTACAAGGAGCGAGTAGAAGAAACAAGAAAAGAAGAACGATGGGAAGCATGATTATGGGTATAAGAAAGGAAATAGCAGAGAAGGAAGGAAAGATAGAGAGGGATAAGGAGGATTTTATGGTAGGAAGAGTAAAGGTAGGGGAGGAGATGTAAGGTAGTAGGAGTTTATGTAAGTAAAGGGATGGAGGAAGCGAGTAAGAAGAAGGAGCAGTGGATTGAGGAAAAGGAAAGAGTATACGCGATAATAGGAGGGGATTTTAACGCGAGGACAGGAAAAGAAGGGGGATGAATGACAGAGGAGAAATCAGAAGAGGAGGAGGCATGGGAAAATAGGAAAAAATCGAAGGACAGTGTAATTAACGCAGAGGAGAGGAAATTAGAATTTATAGGAGTTTATAGGAGGAAGAGGTTGGAGTATATTAAATGGGAGCACAAAAAGAGACGAAGAGGAAGAATGAACGTTTATAGGAGGAAGAGGGAACACGGTAATAGACTATGTATTAGGTAACGAGGACAGCAGAGAAAAGGTGAGAGGATTAAGGATAGGGGATGAGGTGGATTCAGATCATCATCCGGTAGAGGTAGAGATAGAAAGAAAGAGGGGGGAGAGAGAGGAAGAGGCAACAGGGAAGGATAAGGAGGGGAATATGGAATAAAGAAGGACGCAGGATATTTGAGGCGAAAGTAGGAGTAATGGGAGTAAGAGAAAAAAGAAACAGAAAAGAGTAGAGAAGAAACTAAAGGAAGCGATGAGAGCAACGGAGAAGAAGTTGAGGAAAGGGAAAGAAGAGAAGAGAGGATGGTGGGATAAGGAATGCAGAGAGGAGAAAAGGGAGGTAAGGAGGGAACTGAGGAGATGGAGGAGGGAAGGAGGAGAAGGTGAAGAATACAGAAAGAGAAGAGGGAAATTCAAGATGTTTGAAAAAAAGAAAAGAGAAGAAAATAAGAGATAGGAGAGGAAGACAACGGAGGTGAAAAGAGAAGCGGAAGTGTGGGAATAGTGAATAGAGAGAGGAGAAGAAAGAAGGGAATAATGAGGAAATTGAAATAAGAGAGTGGAAGAGATATTTATGAAGCTACTAGGAGGGGTTGAGGAAAAGGTGATAAGGAAAGGGAGGAGGTGGGAAGGAAAATAAAAGAGGAAAAGAAGAAAGAGAAAAAGGAAATAGGAAGAGAAGAACTAAAAGAAGCAAGAAAAAAACTGACAGAAGGAAGAGCGGCAGGGATAGCTGAGATTCCGAATGAGATATGGAAGTATGGAGGAGGGAACTTCGAAGATTGGACGCTGGAGTTTTGCAACAGGATTTGGAGAGGTAAGGGATGGCCGGAGAGTTGGAAGGAAGGAGTAATAGTACCGATAGTGAAGAAAGAGAAAGGAAAGGAGGTGGAGGACTACAGAGGAGTGACGCTGATGCCGACGATGTATAAACTATATACAATGGTACTAGTAGAAAAGCTAAGGAGGGAAGTAGAAAGGAAGAGTATACTATCAAAGAATCAGACGGGATTCAGGGGAGGAATGGAGACAATGGACAATATTTACGTATTGA